CATTGCATCAGCTGTGTACCACAAATTTACTGTAATCATAAATAATTGGTCATAATATATGAAGTTGAAAATAGTAAAGTAACTTCTTTACCTGTTTCCTTGATTAATTTTTCATTGATGTCGCAGTGGAAGTGGTTCCAACTGTTCCACCTGATCAACACAGTAAAAGAATAAGAAAATATAAAGAAAGCTTCCATAGGCATGTTAGTCAAAAATGGCTGAAATTAGTTATATCCAAATTTGGATGATCCTGGCCAGTGCTGGGCATTTGAAATCGAACTGATGGTTACCTAGAAATTAAACATTAAAAATGAATTTGGTTCGATTTCGATGGTTTTTGGTTTTATTATTTTGGTTTTAATGTTAACCAAATAATTTTTGGTTTGATTTCGATTGAATTTTTCAAAAATTAAAAATCAAAAATAAATTTTTGAAAACCAAAATTATGATAAATATGATAAAATATGAGATAAAATATAATTTATTATTAAAAAATAATTAATTAATATTTTTTAATAAAAACCAAAACCAAACCAATTTTATTAGTAATCAAACCAATTAATTTGTGAAATTTTCGGTTCAATTTTGGTTCTCAAAATTGAAGAAAAAAATTTCGATTATTTTAAAAGCAATTTCAATTTTAACCAAAACTGATTTTTGCCCACCCCTAATTCTGGCCAAAGCCCACCTAGTAACAACTCTTAGGTTACTGTTCACTAGACCCCAAAATCTCTAGTTTTAATAGTTAATTCCTCTCCATATTTATATACCTTTCAAAATCACACTTTCATTCTTACGTGAGATCAAACATGATACGTATAAATATGAAAACATAGGAGAACTTCCTTAAGTTTGTTAGACAGAACTAAACATTTCCACAACTGAAAGCCGGCTAAAATTTGCTATATTCAAATAAATTTTTGTAAAGACATGATAATACAAGGAGAGGGATCAAGTGACACATACCCCATCTGAGGAGTTCTTCCAAGGCCATTATCGATCAGATTCCTCCTACCACTATTGCCTTCTTCCATTAGCCTAGCGTCTCTCAAACGTTCATCACACAGACCAACAGCACAATTACCCAACAACAGCAAGGATATGACTCCGGAACAGAGAATAGCTGCAGCAGCCATGAGAGCTTTTTCTTTGTTGCTGGTTTCTCTGTTACTTTTCCTCAGTCCTCAGCCATCTTTCAGGTGAAAGATATTATAAGGTATGAGAATTGGAATTCAGCCGGTGCGTAAGCTATGG